ATTTATTGATCTCTATTTTCATTAAATCTGAGTTCTTGATGCGTGTTTCCTCTGCTTTTGTTGCATGTTTTAGTATGGTAACATAGGGGTTTCTCTATCAAGGTGTATTCGATTTATATTACGTTGGATTTTTCTGCTTCTTGTTTTGGCTCCCTCGCATGTACTGCTAATTGTTCTATGCCCTCTCTGCTATTTTTTCTAGATTCTTGGTTTCCTTTGGACCTGCTTTGTTTCTTTGCGTACCTCTGTTTTGCAAGTGAAGAAGAAAGAAGGCGGCGGTGATCCTGAGTAACGGCGGTTGGGGAAGATCGGCAGATCCGGCCTCGACGTTTCTTGCTCCAACTAGGCTTTTCCTGGCTCTTTGCGGCGGTGGCGGTGGGACGGTGGAGTGGATAACTCTTCAGGGACTTGTGCACCCAGAAGCACTAGTATGAAGGGCACGTGGCATTGCCTCTATGGCTCTATCCCATTGTCGATCTCTCCTTCCGAAAGCAGAGCGGATAACTCTTCCTTTTTCTTTTCCTTATCAACTTCTTAATTTTTACTTTAATTTGGCTATTTTCTCTTGCTTTTTATAATTTGTTTTTTACTCTTTGGTGGATACAATTGCAGAGGTGGTGGAGTGAAGGGCGTTCGCTTGTCCTTATCCCAATTCAAAAGGACATATTCCGTTGGGCCTTAAGCCTTGTGGGCTTTGAGGAATTTTGTTATCCGTACGTACTCAACTAATTGGTTGGGCCTAGTTGGAGCATTTTGCTTTGTTTGTTTTCCAGGAAGCGGATGGACTTTCCTCAAACTTTGGAGACCTGGTGGGATTTGCTGTATTGCGGTCACTTGACAGTCACAGTAGGTTGGTCATTTACTTCTATCCTGAAAAGGGTTGAAGCAAAGACATGGATCTTGTCAATGCATTTACAAGGATTTGCTGCTCTGCTTCAATTTTCAGCATGGTTAGTTCATGATATTGATCCTTTTAAGGAAAGAAATTATGATATTACCCATGTCGTTCAGGTATCATAGGGCAGCCCATATCGTGGCAGGAAAGCCCTATATTGTTAGACCTGCAAAGGTCTTTTTCATTTTTCATTTATGATTTGACCTGCAAAGGTCATGTATATTGTTATATACTTCGTATCTGCTGTTCCCCTTTGAGGATATCTCTGGCAAAAAAAAAAAAAAACCACAGAGCAATGCAATGCGCATCATGCAAGCTTTACATTACTCTCACGTCTCCACTATCGATGTTGTATAGTACTTAATAAATTGCAACTCTTACATCTCCAATATATCTGTCCTCGAATTGCTTCGATCTTGTTAGACAGGGTTTGCGTGAAGGAGATAGCTGGAGTTTTCTTGTTTCAAAGAAAACCCTTCAGAATTAGAAGCAACAGGTTGGGAAAAAAAGATCAAACGAAAGAGCGGAAAACCCCACATCCCTCTTTCACGCAAACCAAATCTAACAAAATCGAAAGCAATATAAAGAACAGAATCGAAAGGAAACTTTGTAAACTTCATTAACTTGCAGAAGAACTAGAATAGTTTATTGATAATTGCTACAAATATTCACAGTATGATGAATGAGGAAAGTACATAAGCTGATGCCTACCACGGATTACAGAAGTGTTTCTGCTGTCAATGTGGGTCTAACTTACAAAATGGAAGAAAGAGACTTAAATATATATTTTGTAGACAGAGTTCTGTTCTTCTCTTCACAATGTATCCCCGTTATGGAGAAGGGTAGCATTCCTATACTAATCTGTAGTCCATCCATGGAAAGGAAGGCTAAATAAAACTCTCACGTAGAATTTGGCAACTTGCTCTTGAGAAAAGGCCCTCCTCTGCAAGTTACAATAGCCATCTCAGTCATGGAATATACACCGACACCGAGTAAGATGAGTTGCTAAAGTGTCATGATTTCTTGAAGAACTTCCGGCCCCTCTCTCCGATGCCAGTGCCCGTAAGACCAGCAGCAAGGACTGATTTGGAATCTGGTCTCCATCTAAGTTGTTTGAGACCAGAGAACAAGTTCGAAAGCTCAGGAGAAATGGCAGCGTCGTGTACGTTCTTGCATGACTCTATCTTAACATTTTCAATCTCATTCCAGCTTAGAAGCACAGACTCGAGGCCTTCTGTCGTCACCAACGAACATCCTTCTAGATACAGCAACTTTACCCTCCTGCAATAGGATTTACCATTCATCAAACTATAATAAATTTATGCAGCTAGACCAATTCAACCAGGCATCATCATTTCTTGTTGTTGTAAGCTGCAAGCGATTGAGACTTACAGTATGCATCATGTGGTTCTCATCTTTTCTTATCCAACAGCTAACCCCATGCCATAGTCAGACATACGGATATATGGAACCAACTAATCCTTATTTATTCAGTTAAGACACTAAAACATGGTGACAAAGGATCAACATTGAACACTACAGTATCAGGAAGACAAGAGTAGCTCGGAGAAGAACACATACAGAACTAGAACAAGCAATTACCTGCAAGTGCTAGCCAGGCTGAACGCTTCATCATCCAAACCCCAGCAGTCATGGACAACGATTTCCCTCACGGTTTCACACGCCTTAAACAAAGCTCTAACCCCATTTTGATCTCTTAACTGACACCTTTCCAAGTGCAGTGTTTCAAGAGCAGAACAACAACCCAGATACTCATCTGGCCCGGGAACCGGATCTATTCTCTTGCACGAAAGTAACCTCAAAGTCTTCAAATTTTCACAGAAAGGAAGAGCAGCCAACCACCCATCATCCATCCTATGATCGCACACAGTCAATTCCTCGAGCATCTGGCAGCACTGCCCTATTGCCTTAATCCCATCAAAGCTACCCTCGCATCCACTGAGCTCAAGCTTCACCAATCTCTTGCACCCTTGAGCCAGAATCGTCAGGCCAACATCCGAAACCAGAGAACCATAAAGGCCATACACGTTCCCCACAAGTTTCAGTATCTGCAAATTGGAACAAGCGGCGATCCCACGAAGTACATTGTCGTTGCAGCGATGCAACTCCAACTCCTGCAACGTTGGGCATTCCTCAGCCACGCTCAACAGCCCTAGTTGAGTGGCACCAATCACAGCAAGCCGACGCAGATTGGGGCACCCATTGGCCAAAACCGTGAGCCCTCTATCAACAATCTCGACGGGCAACAGATTCTCCTCGCAAACTCGCCAATTGAGCGAGAACCCAGAAACCCTAGAGTCCAAATGCGCGGAGACAAGCCGATGGTTCAAGTAAATACTTGAATCCACAGGGGTAACAACACAGCCATTGATCAAATCAACGTACGCGAGATTAGGAAACCTAGCGATCAAGCGACCCGATTCGAGGAACTCCCAATCGAGAATCTTGATCGAACGAACGAGGCGGCCTTGGAGATTGAGCCAGCGCTTGCAGACGAGGCAGTTGGATTTCCTCTGGGAGTCCGGCAGGAAAGACAGGATCTTGAGGAGGATTTCGTCGTTCAGGAGGCGGGTTCGATCGACAATGTCGGATAGATTGGAGATTATGAATGTCTGGAGCTTGTCCTTGGATAGCTTCGGAGACGGATAGGCCGGCTTGGAATTGGAAAGGGATACCTTGGGAGTTTTGGGGGAAAACGTACCTCCTCCTCCAGAGAGAGACGGGAGTTGCATAGCGAAGACGACATGTTTCAGTGGCTTGGCTACGGATCCCTTGAGCCATCGGTCGGTCCACGCCTGTCCCCTGCTCTTCTTTTTCTTCGCCGGCGTCGTCGATTTCGCCTCCCATACAGAAGCCATCTCCGGCCGTTGGCTCTGGTTTTCCCTGCTTTTCGTCGCCGATTGGGTTCCCTCTCTGCTCAGCCTCTGGTATTCCTCGCAAATGCCAATCAGCCTCTGGTATCTTTTGTTTCTCCCGCTTGGGACTATGTTCTCTGCTGCGGTTCAGATGCCACAACAGAGAGTAGATTCAACGGGTAAGAGATACCGTTCTCCAAGCTCTAATCTGCCACTAAATGGGAATTTTTTATGATTCACTTCTTCTGTTTCCTGTTCTATTCTACAATCTAACACCTCTCTCTGGACCTTTCTCCTGGCTTTTCTGGTAAGACGCGGGTTGTGGGAATTGCGAAAGAGCGGGGAATGGGGATGGAAGAGTTTCAAGACGGACTGTGAGAGAGAAAAGAGAGAGAGAGAGAACGGGAGATTTGAGAAAGATGTTGCCAAAATTTCCCCCTTTTTTCAGTAATCATGTTGCCAAAATAGTATTTATTGATTATAATTTATATAAATTGATTTTAACCAAGTGGGTATTGTTCTTTTTGTTTGTTTGCATCTTCGCCACAGTTTTCCTGTCTCTGCTGCTGGCTCCATCCTTCAATATCATAGCTCTCATTCGATAGGATAACCTGGAAGGAGGAGGGACATGTCAAGTATCCATTGGAATCTGTGTCTTCTTAGAGTTATTTTTGGATGTACAATTCAATTTCGGTGGAAATTTTTCATTTCAGTTGGAAAATACATGTTATAGTTTCGATGGTAACTCATAAAATTGGAACAGAAAACCATTATTTACGTTATTTATTTTTACAAATAAATGATGAGTTACTTTGGCATTGAACTCATAAGTTAATAATGAGTTTTTACTGATACAGCAGTCGATCCTCATTAATTAATGCCGTTGGTGAGTTGGTGGAATGGTCAACGCAATGGTTAGTGCTGTGCATTTCTCTATCGTCAGAAAAAAAATATTTTTTAAAAAAATTACCAATAAAAATCTGTTTTAAAAAGTGAGGTGGATGGTGGGTGACAGAAGTTTCAAATAGCCGTTGCAGGAAAATAGCCGTTTTGGGCCGTTGCAGTGTGATGGGTGGGACCCAGGGGAGTTTCGATTTTCGAAACTTGTAAGGGAAGAGAGAGTGACCCTACCACCAGGCCCAGGACGGCCGAAAACCTATTTTACCAAAAGCCCAAGTTGAAACTGAAACCCGGTCCAACACTCTCGTCTTTTTAGCATACTGGGCCTAGACAATGAGATGCTTGGGCTACAAGAAAGCTGCGACACTGCTATTATTTAAAGGGAAGAACCCCAATGCACCAGAAACCCTACTGTACACAAAATGGCATGCATGGTGGTGGTAGAGCATGAATGGAAGTAGGAGAAGAAGAGTCAACACAGATTTTGACCCTTGACGGCAGGCATGCACAAAAAGCAAAAGACAAATTCCAGAAGCTGTTCGTCAAGCGCTGCGATCAAACCAGCGGGTGAGAGATGCACACAGCCAAAAACAAGAGACGCAGCAGTGCACCATCATCGGAAAAGCCTAAGATCGAGGTGCGGCCATTTGCTGCTTCTTTATATTCTCGTCGTGTCTCACCATGCTGCCAACATCATTCAAACAAACACCAGATCAAGCAACAACGTTTTTTACCGAGATGATCGGAGTTAAGATCAAAACTTTCTCAAGTAAGAAGCAGCGTTTGTTGTTAACCTGATATCGTGAGGAGTGATAAATATCCACTGAGCTTTGTGACTTAGCGCGAAATCGACCAATGTGTCCAGGCTGATTTTTCGACTCACCGCATCCTGAATACAGATGCAGAAGATGCATCCATTTGTCATAACCATAAAACAGAAGCATAACATGACAATGGGAGCCCCAATACTGAAAGCATACGTGATAAGATCCAAAATCCTTCTTACCATAAATACGTCAAACTCGTCCATTGCTCGGAATGGACACTCTATCATCTGATGAAGTGATAGTGCAAAGCATAGAGTTGAGAAGGAGCGTTCCCCACCTAATTAATATAGCAGCAGCAGCAACAAGCCAACAACAGTAAAGAAGCTTTAGGAATCATACTCTTGCCTGCACTGCTACATTGGGTACATTCTGATAAATAGTTTCGAGCTACGTTTATTCAATGGGAAGAGAAATAGAAACCCTAGCAAGAAGGAAGATTGTAAAGCATGCCTATCCCAGGTCTTGGCCCGGCACTAATAAAAGATTAGAAGGATGAATTTGCAACAGCAGTTAGATGCTAAAACCCTGCGTCGCATGCACGAAATAAACTAGTATAGAGAGAACCTGAAAGTCCTCTTGTATCACGAACTGAGCTATTTGATGCATCTTGGGGCATTTTCACCTTAACCACGCAAAAAAAAGAAGAAAAAAACATTAAAGCGGTAAAGAATTCAGCATTATAGACAGAAGTAAAAGGCAGGAAATCACACATCGGTTAGTCTACAAATTGTGTAGATGTGCAACGTTTTATGGAAAAAAGTGCTTACCTCCACTCCAAGGCTTTTTTCCTCGTAATCAATTTTGATGTTCCCGCTTATACCTTTGTTTCCCAAATGACCATTGAAACTGAAAGAGCAAAGACAAATGAATATTATCAATTATAGTTTCAGAGCAGACGCTGCAGAATCAGCACTAACACAAGTGAAGAAACGTACTTCCAAGTTAATTCACGCCTTGCGTTATTTGTATTGCTCTCGAACTTTTGCCACCGCAAGTCTAATGCTTTCACACAGACCTACAAATAAAATGGTATAGAAAATTATAGATAAGCGAAACCATTATGAAGAACAGTAACGCAGACAAATAGGTGAAGGGAATATATATTCACATAAAGAAACCAAATTGGGATGTATAGCATACCTCCAATTTTTCTCTGAATGTTTTACACCATTGTCTTCTCTTTTGAATTTTATTCTCTTTTTGCTCATACATTATTCTCAGATCATCAATAGATTCTGAAAACCTGCCACGATAAGTGTGTAAGACCTTTTCACTTTATTTCACTAAAGGGATAAAATGTTGGCAAACACGGCATATAACACGTACTGCTGACTCTCATTGTGAAGCCTCTTCTTCAGTCTACTTAAATGGGCACTAAGTTGCTCTGGACTGCTGCGATCTGATGATCCTCCTAAATTTTCAATTTCACTCTCAGGACATATGATGGAAGCCTTCCTGCATCTTTCCTGAAATCAAACACTGCAAATAAGCTCTACAGTTGATAGAACAGTTGCTTTAAATTAACTTTTAATAGTCGTTGCATCCACCAAAGAGAGGTCGAGAGTAACACGTTTTCAGCATAAACATTATGATCTCAGAAATGCCAGTGCCGTAAGCAATTCTTTTCAGGTACATGTATAGCAGATAAAATTCTTGAAGACACAAAGTCTTGTCACAGAAAACATGGCAGGGCACAGAATTGGATAACAGAAGATGGATATGTTACACTTCAAACGAGTAAGCATGAGCCACTGGAACTATTCTGAACTGACTTCCTACTTTCCCACAGGTCCATTAGTCCCATTTAAAACACCGAGCAGAAATCTAACAATCCACGATACTGTTAGCTCAAAGATCATGGAAACTTGCCATCTTCAGTTTCAAACACGCACCAATTTGGCAATCAAGCAAAAAGAAAAATTATGGAATGTGGTCAATAAGAAGATATGATCATTAGAGGCTATAAATTGAAAACCAAGAATATAAGAGCAAGCACGTTGGAGGGCTGTTCAGAAAGGAAAACAAGCTTTGGGGATCTCAATGTGATGTGGTAATATGACATTTGAAAATTTACCTTCCGCTCATCTTCAAGCTTACTATGCTTTTCCTTTGCACTTTCTATGTCGACAAGGACCTTAGTAGCCATTATACGCTCATAATACGCTTTTTGCTGAGATGAGAAATTGATACTTTAATTAGATAACAGAAAGAGTTAGTTTGAAAGCGGGGAATCAAGCAACTCCAAGGGGTTGAGATAGCGGTAATGGATGTATAAAAACATCCAACCAACTGACGTTCAAAACAAAGGGCCAAAGTCACCTATGGACTAAAAATAAAAGAGAGAGAAAGTTGTGGATCAAGAAATATACTGAGCTCAAAGGAAAATACCGTCTCGGCACTCTTCCGATCTGTCTCAATCTTCATCAGCTCAGTCTCAGCATCCTCCAGGGTCTCGAAGTCTTGCTTTGCTGAATCTACAGTTTTCCAATTAAGGCAACGAGAAATCAATGGTAGGGCGATCTCTTTCCTAAAAGAGAAATCCACCAACACTAGTCCTACCACATAAACTCTGAAATGACATCTTCAGAGCCGTAACTTTTTCTTCAGCTTTTTCAATTCCAACCTCGAGCGTCTCTAGAGTATCCTGTTTGTGTTTTATATCTTCTTCTATCCTCTGCGCAAGTCATGAAAAAAAGATGCAGTTAAGTTAGAGAAGGAATCCCAGTAAAAACTACATGGAAATTAGCAATTCCGTAGATAAGCATCCAGAAGAAAAAGTAGCATCAGAAACTTGGAACAAACAGAAATTTCTTCACGAAGTTCATCCAAAGTTGACGTTGGCAGCGACATGCTTGCATTGTCAATTGATCGCTCCAAATCCTGCAGCTCTAGCTCCATAGATGCCACCTTCCGCTCAGCATCCGAGCGTTTCTTCTACAATCGGTTAAAAAAGACAGCATATAATGTCAAATACAGAAGCACAAACAAAGGCCAAATTTCCAGTTAACATAAGGGAGATGCTCAAAGGCAATGCAAGACTATGTGGGCGAAAACAGAACTACAATCCACATCTATCACAAATAAAATGAAGGACATGTGAAATAGCAAAATCCTTGCAGAATAAGACAGGTTTAACAACAGTATGACATAGGACATAGCCAGGCATTATCTACCCAAAATATGCATCTACATAAACATGATAGCATTCAGCACGTGCAAACATTGAGCTGAAGAGTGCCTTCCATTCTTGAGTAAAGTCCCAGAAACGGAGGAACACAGGATGATTGGGAAGTTCTTAAGCTAATTGATAGGTGAAGTTATCACCTTTGCTAACCGCAGTGTTTCTCCAAGACTACGAAGAGTTCCCTCGGAGTCCCACTTCTTCCGTCTTAAATGTTCAGTTTCTTTAGCAAGAACATGGACCTGTTGCTCATGATCACTGATTTGATCATCAAATGAACCGCACAGACGGTTTGCTCTAAGCCACTTAGATGGCGGAAGCACTGTCTCCACTGACTCACGACAGAACCTAACAAAAAACTCAAGTCACAAGCATGCTAGCAAACACCAACAGTAAATTGGAAGCACTATCTCCAATTTACTTCTTTTATACGAAATTATGGACACCATCCATAGTTATTCTTTCCATATTTTATGAATAAGAATTAAGAAGTATGTTTGCCAGTTCAGATTAAGATAAAAAAATAAGATGAACGAAATACGGCTGCTGGCTTCTAAATCAAGGTAATATGAAATCCTGCCCACTTCTCTATATTACTTATCCAAGTCGTTTCACACAAATGAAAATACTTATCGAAGTGGGTTAGCAAGATTTGTATCTTTTACCACCTTCGTTAGGCCCTCTTAAGCAACTAAGCATTCCAGTCTAAATATCAAATAGGTATATATACGACGGCCAGTTGTTTACCACCTACAGTGACTACCGATGGCAAGGGGAACTACTCACTGCTCTGGACACCATGCCTTATGCACCCCCCAAAAATGTATATACACACTTACATTTTATATCCATCTGATGTGTAAACCTCATGCACATTTCGAGTTCTTTGTCCAAAAGCAACTTCCTTAGCGGTGTCATAGTCCTTGACAAGGACTTGCCTTTCTGCATTTCCCTGGAGAGAAACACAATATATAAAACATATGGCATTCTGGAAGCTAGCTGATATATTTAAATATGATGAATCACTGATTACCAAATCTATCAGAACATTTAGCACTGTATCATAGCTGGATTGTATAACAGATAGAACAGTTGGGTGATGTGTTGTGGGAAGCTTGTCAGAAGGTATGTTTAACCTACAGCATATAAGATAAGAAGACAAGGATTTAGCTCAAACAGGAAACATGTGATCGCACAGGATCAGAAACCAATCAGGAACCAGAAAAATTAGGCATCTACACACCTTGGTCGTTCAAAGTCATATATGTAGATTTTCAGGTCACCATAATTTGCTTCTCTTGCACATTTTTTTAGAAGGAGAGAATCACTATGATTTGTCACAATGAATGCATTGAACAGCTTCCCAAGCGCATACTCAACAGCTAGAGCCCATCTATCAGCGTTTGCTAAGGCCTTTCAGAGTCAGACATCAAAGAATGTGTCATAACTAAGGTATGGAACAGCAAAATGGCTGACCATGCAGTAAAGAAGAGCTATGAAATTAAAAATAACAAATAGCTCCTGAAAGGTAATACATTAGAAACATAACCACTGAAAGATCACAGTCTACTAAATTTTTTTTTTTTTCTTTTTCCAAAATTCCAAGCATCTGGCATTTCAGGGTACATCAGTTTCAACTTTCAAAGAACCAACATTCAAACAGATGGAGCTTGTGTACGTAATTATTAGAGACTGACAACTTACAATATTAGCGCCAATTGGACCTATTGGTGGCCTTTTAAATTGATGACGATGGTTTTCAATTGCACGTAGAAGTCGAAGGACTCTATCTCCTCCAAATGCTGTGACCTGAACCGATATGCAGATATTACAATGACAACTTACATAATTAAATCCACTTATGAAATACATCAATATCAAGGCATGACAACATAAAGGATTGCTAAGATCACACTGTTAAGCCCATTAGATCACTAAGACTACAACGACCGGAGATACCTTGTTTTTTCTGTTCTTCTGAAGATCATTAATGGCTGAACGATGATTTTTTTCCTTTCTCTCGTTATCTGCAATCTACACAGACATAACTCAACTAGTTGGTTACAGAACAAACGTGCAGCTTAAGAAGTAAACTGGTGATGCCAACCACCAGTTCAAGACTTCCGTCCACGTACAAGCAATAAAGGAAGAGCTCTTTACTATTAATAGAATGAACACAGTTGTATCTCTTCTGCTAACAGACCGAGTCCCTCAATAATTTGATGCGACCATTATGAGGATTTAACTACAAACCAATGTTAAGGGGAAATAAGGCAGTTCACTGAAGCAACATTATTTTATGGTCCAGTTATTTAGTTGCAGAGGTTGGTACCTGTTTAGCAATCTCACTAATTTCACCTTGTATCTTATCCACGTAATCTGTTGTTCCACGTTCCTCATTCTCTAACCTGGATTATCAGGGTTGCAAGTAGTATAAATAAATCTCTAAGCAGAGGTCATAGAGTGCTGATAACACAAGGGTCATATGAAATGGATCACCTCAAGAATGAGTCATTTGCATCATCTATTGCACGTTTAAGTTCCTTGACCTTTTCCTCCATTTCAGAATTTTCAGCCTGCGGTACAGAATACTTCAGAAGTGAATAACACTTGCCAGTAAGACACAACAAGTAACCGTATTTAGCCTCGGAAGCAAACCAGATCCCAATATGATCATCTATAGTACCACATTTCTAGTAACATCTCAGGCAAGTCATGACCAAAGTCCAAGACTAACGCATGTAAAGTAATAAATAAATGACATATGTCCTTCACCAAAGAGGCATGAATGAAACAAACAGTATGCCTCAGTTCTTGCAATTTTCAGGTTGGACAGTTGCCTAGTGAACTGTAAATCACGACTTGCTGGACCACGACAAATTTTTAGTGACAAGAAACTTAATATTAAAACAAACAGAAATGGGGAAAACTACCAAAAAAAAAACCCTTCACTGTGTTTCTCATACGCAAAAACACATCGTTAGACACAAAAATGAACAATCCAAGATGGGCATAAAGGGAAGAAAGAGAAACTCAACATAGGGCAGCAAACAAAACCTGTGTGTTTCTAAGATGCTGATCATTAATTTCCTCAATTTGCCGTTCCAATTCTTTTACTTGTTTCTCCTTGTCGTCAATCTGCTTAGTCGCACGCTTACGCTTTTCTTGTAATTCAACCTTCTCCTTTGTGGCCTAATTAACCAATTTCACATACAAATCAGTACATGTGGAGTTATTGCCCATACAACAAGAACCTAGCTAACAAACCTCCTGAGCATCCAGAATCAACTTCATATAAAGAATCAGAGGATGTGATATTCTCATAGATACCACTAAACCACCTGAAAAGGCATACAAGATTGGAACTTAACGGACATGCATGAACACAAGGCATGCACTTAGGATCCAAAACCGCCTTGTTTTGTCTATACTCATCATACTCAATCCCGAAGATACCAAATTTTACATGTCACACTTTTTCACACCTCTAAAGGCATATGAATAATCCACCACCAACGAATTCAAAATTCTAAGATTACTAATTCCATTAAGTACTTTTCATCTAATAGGGAATGAAAACTACCATGGAAATAGAGTCCTTGAATTCCTGCTGCTTACTCTTCACTTCCAATGTTTTATCCATCAGGCGAGCAATTTGACCTTTCTTCTTTGATGATTTTTCCTCCAAAGATTCCATCTTAGCCTTTGAATCAAACAAAGAGGACAAGCTCAGAAAATCTTACAGATGGCAGTTTCATAACATTCCAGCCAAGACAAAGCCAGATACAAGTGAAAGACAGGATAATGAATTAACAGCAAAGCAAAATCTAACAGCACTAAATAATGTCAGTCCCTTCAATCACTCACTAGTTCTTCATCTATCTTTTTTTGGCAAGCAGGAACACGTTGTTTGAGTTTCTCCATCATCGCAATGTGCTCCTGTTTTTGCTTGTCTACATCATAAACCCATGCCCATGCTAGCTTCTTAGTCAGAACCTCAACCTCCTGAGATATTTCTTCCAAATGCTCCATGTTACTAATTTTTCTCTGCAACTCTGCAAGTTCTTTCTCTACTGGTTTAATAGAAGCCTCGTCTTCCTCAACAGCTGCACTTACAGACCTCAGTCCTTCCGTGTTCCTTTGTAAGGTATCATTAACTTGCTGAAGAAGAGTAGCCTTGAAGAAAAACTGAACAAAAAAGAGTGATCATGGGAGCACTACAGACATTACTCAGGCCTTACCAGACCAGCAAAGAATACCAAAAAAGGAGAATAGAAAACAGAATAACCTTGAATTTGTCTTTCTTGTTCCCAGAATGCAGGAACTCCCTACTTTTGTCTTGACTCATCACGACACAAGGATTCTCTACATCAATCTGCAACATGTTCAATGCAATACCTAAGGTTAGACACTTACGAAAAGCAAAAGAATAGGAACCACCATCTCAGCATTCAAACAGAGTGCAAACAGCAACAATAGAACCTATAGCAGTCATTGTTACTTTTGGCGAAATAAACAAAGAGTATGAAGTAATTATCATGTTTCCAGTTCCTTTTCAGTTGATTGACATTTTAATGGCAGTTAATACAGCACCATGGTTCTAATCTAACACACAGTTGAAAGAATATACGATGGACAGGACACAAAAGCAGTGTTCGGAAAACTCACATTAAAATGATCTATGAGTTCCTGAAGATCATCTTTCCGACCTGCGACTTTTCTTCCTATCATATATGCCAGAGACAAAAACAAGTTAGTTCAAAATTCTCCCAAATGGCAGAGGACAAAAGTGAAGTTCATCTTAAGTTTTTAATTTTATCCAGAGTAAGCCAGAGGTAAATCCCACAAAACATGCATGGAACTAAAACTAGTTGCCTAATACAGTAGATTGTGCTGGTTGAAACGAATATCTGTGGTGGAAAATATATATATATATAATCACATAGGATAGTGTTAACATTACTGGGCTCTTTGACTTTAGTACTGAAGATTATAGGTTGAGTTACATTTGAAATTGCTGAATAGACATACAATTCCAATGCACGAGACTACAGTTAGATCTTTCCACAAAAGTTCATGCCACTCAAACCATCAATGGATGATGTGACTTGCTTATGGGAGAGATCACCATGGCTCAAAGTTGCCAATGCATACAAATGCAAACTAATGATTTCATAACTATTTAGTCACTCAGTCCGCACTACTTCAGTATTGAGAATGATAATTACCACATAATTCATCAAATCAAACTGGCTAGAGTGGGGGCAGAAGTTGTACTTGAGTTTCCACATATATTTAATCCTTCTGATGTAGCTCTTTGCTTCCCATGGGTGGAATAATATAGCGGAGCAATCATTCTCACGACATATGGCTCTTGTGAGCCAATTTGCTCAAACTAAGCCAGCTTATGCTGTGATTCAGCATTTGAAGCGACGTGTGCTAGACGACTAGTAAAGGAAAACCCAGCACTAACCAATTAACATAATAGTAACATAGCTCGTTGGTCCTAAGCACCCCCGAGCTTTGTTGAAGAAAGTAAAAAGACACTTTTAATTTTGCATTTTTTAGTAACCTAAGGCCCGGACCTAATAACTGTAGTAATGCTTGCCCGAATATCCACTGCACCTGGGTTCAAGCCTTGGCCAGGACTAAAATTCACCTAATATAATTAAATATAGTAAAGGAGCACAGACCTCGGTGATCCTTTAAAGTCATGGAGCCGCCCGTCTGATTGATTCGACGCTCTAAAATTATGGAATTGCCATAGATATCATGCTTAAAGGCATCATGCCCTTCATTTTTTATTACCACTTCAACAGTAGCATGACTGTAAAAGAAACAATATCAGATATCAACCCTGGAACTCCAACATCAGGTATTGGTTTAAACAGGATAGAAGCTCAAACCTGCAACCAGTTTTGATGAAATCCTTCAGTGTGGACGCCCTCTGCGTCCCCTTAGCTCTGCTTCCGAAGGCTACGCAAATCGCTGTAAGTATTGCACTTTTACCACCTGAAAACGCCCAAAATCCCCAAAGACATTTAACTCAGTCCAACACACATCATTCTCCCCTAACAAGGATATAAAGCAAACACAATTCCACTTGAAGACACTATTTTTCAATCAGTACCAAAAGTTCCATGACCCTAATTAACTCATTGCAAAGTATTAGCCTCGAATTTCGTTTCATGAGTCATTGAACTAACTACACCACAGAACGGAAACGGAACCCTAATAGCAACGATGCTAGTGATTCGAGCAACGAGTATACACACAGAGAGACGCTAACGAGACAAAAGGGAGAAAAGAAGCCATACTCCCATTCTGGCCGGTGATGAAATTGACCCGCGGACCGAGCTCGATTTGAAGGTTGCTGTGGCACATGAAGTTCTCCAATCGGATCCTCTTGATGGTCCCCGCCCCGGATGGTGTGTGAGTGCCCGCCGGACCGGAGAAACCCCCGGATTCCTCCATCGTCGTGTGAAAATAACGAGCTTGCTCGTCGGACGGCGAAGCCCTAGCGGAGAAGACGAGAAGGAGTGCGCTAGTTTCAAGGGAACTGAAACGGAAGTGGGGTTTTTGGCTGGGATGTGTGATAATGGCGGGAAACGGGGATTACTGTATGCGCTCGGGAGTTACGTGGGGCTGTTGTTGATTTTGCATCAAGTCATGCCGCCAAAATTATTCACCGCCGATTGGGCCTTCTTGCATATTGGTTAAAGTCAATCTGGGCTAGGCTCAAAATGTTAGATGTCTATTAAAGGGCCCAATGTTATGGGATTAACCTGTTAGGATTGGATGGATCAATTGCCTAATTGTTTAATTTTATAAAATGAGTCATTTAAAACGAATCAATTCGAAATGAAGATTTAGAAAATTTCCTCTCTTCTCTCTCTTCTTTCTCTTTTTTATAGAACCCTAAATTCGAGTTTCTACCGATGGCGGTCGTCACTGACGGTGCGGCAGCCGTCGGTGACGGTCGGTCGTGGGTATCGCTGTTCGGGATTCCGGAAGATAACCGTCTGGACTACTATGAGCCGGAGTATGTTAATGGCTCGCTGAGGATCCCGAGAGAGGTGGTGGAAGAAGGGGCGAAACGTTGGGAGAACAGCCTGGTGGGGCAATTTATCGATCGCCCGGCGTCGCTATCGGCTATCCGTTACTGGGCAAATTGGCTATGGGGGAAGGATGGGGAAGTCCGAGCATCGAGCATGGGGCGCAGGCTCGTTCTCTTTCAATTTCCCAATGCCGAGATCTGTCAGTGTGTTTTCGAAAGCGGGCCTTGGCACCACAGGGAGAACCCTCTGTTCCTGCGTAAGTGGGAACCAGGGATTAGTCCTTTGAAGCTGGACAATTCGACTCTGCCAATCTGGGTAAAACTCTCGCATCTGCCGTCGGAGCTTACTTCTAAGGAGGGGCTGGGGCGAGTGGCAAGTTCTCTGGGTCGCCCACTTTGTATGGATAAGTCCACTACACGAGGTAAGAAGGTGGGGTTTGCTCAAGTCTGTGTCGAGGTTAAGGCTAGTTCAAAGAAGGTTTCGAGGCTGAGTGTAACGCCGGATGGTCTGCCTGAGATCTTTATTGAAGTCGAATATTGTCATATGCCAAGGGTGTGTGATAAATGCAGTGTGTTTGGGCATAATTGTCGTAACGCTGGTGAAGGGACGAAGTTAGAATGGAAGAAGAAAGTGCCAGTAATTAGTGAGGTTCAGGTAGCTAATTCGGATCAAGGCAGTGCAGGGCAGAGTGAACCTAAGGAAGCTCTAGTTGTTGAGAATGTTGAAGTCTCTGTGGTGGATGAGGTTGATAAGGGTAAGGCAGTGTTGACTGAGGATCTTGTATGTGCTGTTCAGTCTGCAGATACCAATACTCCTCCCCCACGAGGGAGTTTGGTTGATGCGGATGGGTTTACTTTGGTTGTTAACAAGAAGAACAAGGTGTGGATTGGGTCAGGGTCGATTTCTCAAGGGCCAAGAAGTCTATCGAGCAAGCTTGTTGCTGGTCAGGTCAATGGGAAGACTGTGCGGGTTGCCTGTCAGCCACCTCCCCCTTCTCCTCCAAAAGGGAGAGGGAGAGGGAAGAAACGCAAATGAAGATTTTAAGCTGGAATATCAGGGGTTTCAATGCCCCTGATAAACACTCAGCAGTTTTACAGCAGCTGAGAGTGAGGCATATAGATATTATAGGTCTGTTAGAGACTAGAGTAAAGGAAGTAAATAAAAATACTATAGTAGAGGGTTGTTTTTCTGCCTGGAAGCATTTATCAAATTATGCTAAATCTGAAAATGGTAGGGTATGGATATTCTGGAGGGCAGGGTTGCCAGTAACTTTGGTTGATGAAGGTAGGCACTATATTCATATTCGGGTTGATGATGTTAAGCCGTTTAGTGTGGTGTTTGTTTACAGCCTCAACAAGGAAGAAGAGCGTCGAAGTCTATATCAGGAGCTGTTTAGGGGAAAAGATAATGGACTGCCAAGGGTGTATATGGGTGATTTCAATGCCATAGCTGAAGTTACTGATACTTCAAGTTCCCAGGTAGTTACTCAGAGTATGCAGGATTTCCGAAGTTGGATTCAAGGTATGGAGTTGACTGAGCATAAGACGACTGGCTGCTGGTTTACTTGGTGGAACCGTCAGAAGAGCAATCCAATTGCTCGCAGAATTGATAGAATACTTGTTAATGATATATGGTTGGAAAGATTTGTAGATAGTTCTGCTTATACTAACCCTCCTGGGGTATCAGATCACTGTGGTTTGATTGTAGATACTGCTCCAAATTTGAAAACCCTCCCTAAGCCATTTAAATACTTTGTATTTTGGCAATCCCATCCCAGTTACCTTGATATTGTCCGGAATGCTTGGAAGAAGAAGGTTGTGGGCTACCCCTATTATGTCTTCTATTGTAAACTTTCTCAAGTGAAGAAGGAGCTGAGGCAGTTAAATCGAGTGGTATACTCTGATATTTCTTGTCGAGTTCAGGCGGCAGCTGTTGCACTTGAACAGGCACAAGAAAAAGTACTGAATGATCCTGGTGAGTTGAATATTGAAGTAGAAGAGCAACTGGGATTGGAGTATGGGGAGTTAAGGAAGGCTGAAGAACTCTATTATAAACAAAAATCAAGGTCTCAGATTATTCAGGAAGGTGATTCTAACACAGCTTTCTTTTACAAGCTGGTCAAGGTTAAGACACTAAAGCAGCAGATTACCAGGATGAGGAATGATCAGGGAGCAGTTGTTTCGGATATTCACGAGATAGGTGCAGTTGCTGTGGACTTTTATTCTAAACTGATTGGGACTGAGGATCCGCAGGTTAAGCAGCAGCCAGTAGCTTTCTATCAAGCTCTATTACAGCATAAACTGTCTGAGGAGGAGGGTGAGTATCTAATGAGGGGAATTACAAGAGAGGAAATAAAAAGTGTCTTCTTCTCCCTTGGTCGTGACAAGGCCCCAGGCCCCGATGGTTTTCCTGCAGAGTTCTTCAGAGCTCATTGGGACATCATTGGGAAAGAGGTGGAAGAGGTAACAATTTCTTTCTTTTCCTCTGGAATTATGCCTGCTATAGTGAACAACACTATATTTACATTGGTTGCTAAGTTTCCTTGTGCTGAACACATGAAGGATTTTCGTCCTATCTCGTGTTGTAACACGTTGTACAAAGGGATTTCAAAGATTTTGGCTAATAGGCTTGCTCAGGTGCTTCCCAGTGTGATAAGTAGGTCTCAAACTGCGTTTATCAAAGGCAGGGCTATCAGTGATAACATCCTATTAGTTTCAGAACTAGTTAGGAATTACCACTATAAAAATTTGAGTCCTAGATGTGTGGTCAAGATTGATATCATGAAAGCTTTCGATTCAGTTAATTGGCAATTCTTGTTTACTGTGATGGATGCAATGGGGTTCCCCTCTGGTTTTTTAAAGCTCCTTACTGCTTGTGTTACTACTCCTACAATCAAAGTTTCTTTGAATGGGGGATTGTGTGGAAATGTTCGGGCTAGAAAGGGTTTAAGGCAGGGTGACCCTTTGTCACCCTACCTATTTACTATTGCAATGGAAGTCCTGGATGGGCTTGCTCGAAAAGCAGCAAGGGAGAATCAGATCCCCTTCCACCCACGTTGTAAGCCATTAATGATTACGCATCTTTGCTTTGCGGACGATTTGATGGTTTTCACGAATGGGTCAGTGAGGGGGGTGGCGGGTATAAGGAGGCTGATGGATGAATTCTATATCCTGTCTGGTTTGAAGTGTAATGCAGCTAAATGCCAGCTGTTCTGTGCTGGTATATCAAAGGATGAGCAGCAGTTTATCTCTACTATAACTGAGTTTCCTCTTGGCTCTCTTCCTGTTAGATACCTAGGTGTTCCTTTGATAACTGGCAAGCTGTCTAAGCATGACTGTCAGGTGTTGATTGATAAGATTACTCAGAGACTTAGAAGCTGGCGGTCTCGCCTATTGACATATGCAGGGAGAGTACAGTTGATTTCATCTGTCATCTCTAGTACATTGCAGTACTGGCTCAACATCTTTCTGCTTCCTAAGTATGTAATTAAGGAAGTAGAAAGATTGTGCAATGAGTTTCTCTGGGACACAGCAGAGGGGGTGTAAGAAAGAAAGCTGTTATGGCTTGGCATAAGCTTGCGCTACCTAAGCGTGAAGGTGGTCTGGGAATCAGAAATTTTAACCTCTGGAACAAAGCATGTGTGTTCAGACATGTCTGGGAGATCCTAACAAGTGGTGGTTCACTCTGGGTAGCTTGGGTTTCTCGGTGTAGATTGAAGCAGAGGAGCTTATGGGATATATCAATTTCATCTGCAGGGACATGGATATGGCGGCAATTATTGAAGTGTCGAAGTTTTGCTGCTGTTCATATTTCAGGTAATCCTCCCAATCTGTTATGGCAAGGGCAGAAGATGCAGAAATACTCGGTAAAGCGAGTGTGGGAGGCAGTAAGGGAACATCAGCAAGCTGTGGCATGGCGTCGGCTGGTCTGGTCTAAGGAAATCATCCCTAGACATGGATTTACTCTGTGGATGGCTATGCATGACAGACTGATTATGCAGGATAAGCTCCTGTCTTGGGGCAAACAGGTTTCTGGGTTATGCCTTCTTTGTCCAGGTGGTATAGAGACTCGCAGCCACCTCCTGGTCTCTTGCTCCTATACTAGGTCGGTTTTAAGGTGTTGTTTGAAGCAGCTGGCTCCTCCAGGGGAAGGGGACTGGCCTACAGTGGTGTCCTGGTGTTCTCAGTAGTGGGGCAAAGTGACTCCAAGGCATGGTTTATGTCGATTGCTATGGAGCTCGGTAGTCAGTTTTGTTTGGCGTGAGCGATGCAATAGGATGTATGGTTCTATAGGGATAAGGCTCCCTGATGTATTAACTAAGCAGGCGTTAGCTGAAGTTTCTTATAGAGTGTCCAGTAGCCCTGTCCTCCAGGCAGAATTAGAGCATATAGTTAGCATACTTTGATAGGCTTTTTGGTTCTATCTTAATTGTTTGAGAGGCACATCAGGGATTTCCCTTGGTGTTTGCCGGAGCTTAATACAAGTTTTTTGATTTCGCATAAAAAAACGAATCAATTCGAATTACCTGTCTCACCCCAAACAATT